AGACAGACATAAGTTGGTTTCCAAGGCAAGACTCCAAAGTTCACTCCTCTCAGGATACCACCCTGGTCCTTTCCGCACTTGGATCTCATCCCTGGTTTTATCAGAGTTCAACTTGCGACACAACACCTTGCATTTATCCCTGGTTATAACAGCATCCGTTTATCCCGGGACAAGTGTGGGGTGAAACTGGGGTGACCTCAGTGTCATGCGGAAACAAAAGAATACCCCAAGATAATTACAGGGGTGAACTCGAGTGGAGTGTAGAATGTAAGTTTGGGGACAGGGCTGAACCTAAGGTCTAGTGTGGAAAGAACCCCTGTCAATATTCTCTCCTGACCCCAAAGACAACTGCGAATGGACTCTGGACACACTAAATGTTGAGCGGGTCCTAGCTTCAACTGTGTAACGGTCACCTTCAAGGCCATCAGTCATTTGTGTTCTGAAAAGTGTCACCTGCGCACGAAATACTTTCCGCTATAGCTCAACAGCCTATATTCCAAGTAGCATAGATGGCACTCTAATAGAGGAATCTGCCGCTTCCTCCACATTCAGTAGAGCACTGGTGTTCACCCTACTGGTCAGGTCCTTCAGCTGGGTCAAACAGCCCCACCTGCAGGATTTCAAGCCTCCCTTTTTTGCTGATTTTTTAAAAGATTTGGTGTTACGCTTTACAAGGTCCCGAGCTTCCAAGCTGTCAAACACTGGGCCCCCATGTGCCTACGGAGACAACTGAACTTTCGCCTTCTCTCTGCTATTTTCACGAAGGCTTTGTGATTGGCAAGTCATCCAGAGCTGAGGAACTCCCGACGGTCCAGAACAGGTTCGAGTTGGTTTCGGCAGTACACGAAAGTGGCCAGCCTGAGAGATGCTAGCTGATTGGGAAAAAATTGGGATACATGGGGAACAGGAATCTGTCAGTCTCCAGTAGTCAGAACCATCTCCCTAATCAAGATATTAGAGGCTTTTTAGAGCGGACAGAGGAAGAGGGTTTCCAGCCAACATGTGTATAAATGATTATGCTTTCGAAAGGTGACGAGATATGGGGAGCGGATAAGCAAGATGATGGGATAAGCTGGCAAACGTTATGGGCTGGCCCAATTAGTTGGACAATGTTTATTCAGAACTTTCTAAGGGGGTCTAGAAGGTATCAACTGCCCACTGCAATAAGGAAGAATTTGTCCTTTGACTGGATATTAATATAGCACCACAAATTAGGGGAGAAGGGCTGCACCTCAAAGAACATACAAATCCACAAGGCAGATTTGTCTTCTCTCTCCGATGGTTATTCTGTGTCTCTGCCAATTATATTTCTCGTTGCTTCTCTCCCTCTTGCCTGAGAAGGGAAGACGGCTGCTGGAAGACTCCTAGCCTGAACAGTTTGGGTGGATGAGAACTGGCCAACTCATCATGCTTGTTATTTTCATCAAGGAAACGGATAAGAAGAGCTTTAGGGTTTGTTATTATTATTATGCGGTGAGGGTTATTGCGCTGCATTAACACTTCAGGATTATTGTCTTCTGTTGCACTGAGGGGTTCCAAAACAGAGACATTACTGGATTGACTTTGATACTGAAAGTCTTCGTAGAAGCCTGGCACCTGACTGGAGAAGAAAATAACTCAAGCTATGTCTGACTGTCCACGTTTTTGCCTATCACCGCACTGCTTAAAGATCCCCTGCAATCCGGACAGGCTTGTGAGCTTGGAGGATTCCCCAGAATGACAAATGTGTCATTCAGTGCTGCTCGAGCGTGTGTGTAGAGACAGCGAAGGCACACCTTCTGCTCCCCTCTGCCTGTGCACAGAGAGGAGTGGCACGACAGCCAGTTGAGGCCACTCTGTGCTGGAGGGGGTTCCTCCAGAGCTTAAACCCTTGGCTCGTTCATCCTACTAGCTGGCGTCTGTTCCCTGCCCCCAGCTTCCTTGGTCTGTGGCTCACTCTTCTGGCCTCACCACAGGGGCAGGTCATAACTCCTGTATCCCCCCGTCTTCTTACACGATTGTGATGTCATGGGGTCGTAGATCAGTGGGGCTCACGGCGCTGCGTAGGGGCTAAAAGTGGGGCTTGGGTCCAGACTAACCTTTTTACATGAAACTACCTTGTACTGAAACAGGCTAGAGGTCCGTCAAAGTCAGTGTTGTCTACTAAGACTGGCAGCGGCTCTCCGGGGTCTCAGCCAGAGGTCTTTCCCATCACCTCCTACCCGATCCTGAAGGCCTGTCTGAATGTCCCACCCCAACCCTGTTTGGGCGGCGAGCAGATTTTTGCTCGCCTGCGCTGCCAGATCGACCCTATGCGGTTCCAGATGGCTGTGCGGGATCCAAGGCCCCCTGGCGGTTCATTGGATGAGCTGGTGGAGGACTGGCACGACCGGCTCTCCTCAGCCATCGACGAGATCGCTCCCAGGCATCCTCTCCGCACTAGTTCTTGGCGGGCACCCTGGTATACACAGGAGTTGCGCCAGCTGAAGCGAGAACTGAGATGACTAGAGAGACAGTGGCGCCGCGCTCGCGACGAGGCATCAAGAACATCCTATAGGACGCTTATGAGATCCTATAAGATGGCAGTCAAGGCCGCAAAGAGAGAGTTCTATGCGACCATGATTGCATCTGCTAGCTCACGCCCGGCCCAATTATTTAGTACGATTCAATCTTTGACAGCCCTGCCACAGGGCAGGCAAAACGCTAGGGAATTGGATATTGGCTGTGAGGCTTTTGCGAGCTATTTTGCAGAGAAAGTCTAGGCGCTCCGCGGTGACCTCCCCGCCACAATTGATACAGTGAGCGAACTTGAGGCCCCTTGCATGTCTTTGGTGCCGGGTTTAGTGAGTTTCAGCCCACTCAGCCTGGAGGAAGTTGACAGATTGCTCATATCTGTGCGTCCAACCACATACGACCTTGATCCATGCCCCTCCTGGCTCAGTAAAGTGGATTGTGAGGGGTTTCGAGTTGCCCTGAGGGAGATTGTCAACAAGTCCCTCTTGGAGAGACGGTTCCCTAGAGCACTCAAGGAAGCAATGGTCCGCCCTCTCTTGAAAAAACCATCTCTGGACCCGGCCGAATTGGCTAACTATCGGCCGGTGTCCAATTTGCCCTATTTGGGCAAATTTATCGAGAGGGCGGTGGCGACACAGCTACAGGGCTTTCTGGATGATGCTTCTGTCCTTGATCCCTTCCAGTCCGGCTTTCGCCTGGGTCATGGGACGGAAACGGTACTGGTCACTCTGACTGATGACCTCCGTGGGCATCTGAATCGTGGCGGTGTGGCGGCACTGTTGTTAGATCTGTCGGCCGCGTTAGACACGGTCAACCACCAGTTGCTAGCCCATTGCCTCGCCGACGTGGGGATTCAGGGGCTTGCCCTTCAATGGTTTGCCTCTTTTCTCCAAGGTCAGGGACAAAGGGTGGCGATAGGGGATCAGTGCTCCCAGAGGTGGCCTCTTGAATGTGGGGTGCCTCAGGCGGCGTTGCTGTCCCCGATGTTGTTTAACATCTACATGCGCCCCCTTGCCCAGATTGCCAGGAGTTGTGGGCTTGGGTGTCATCAATATGCAGATGACACCCAGCTCTATCTGATGCTGGGTGGCCGGTCGGACTCCACCCCGGATGACCTTCATCGGGCGTTACAGGCCGTGGCTGGTTGGCTCAGGCTAAGTCGGCTGAAACTAAAGACAGAGGTCCTTGGCCTGAGTCGGATCGGTTCGGGGTTGGGGCTCCCTCTCCCGACCTTCGACGGGGCGCCTTTGGTGCCGGTGTCGGAGGTTAGGAGTTTGGGTAGTTATAGGTAAGCCCTATATGGCCAGGGTCCAGCTTACCTAAGGGACCGCCTCTCCCCGCATGTTCCCCCAAGGGCACAACGGTCGGGGAATCAAAATCTCCTGGATATTCCAGGCCCCAGGAACACCAAACTGGCTGCCACTAGGGCCAGGGCGTTTCCGGTGGCAGCTCCTACCTGGTGGAACGAGCTCCCAGAGGAGATCCGGGCCCTGCGGGACCCGGCGCAGTTCCGCAGGGCCTGCAAGACGGAGCTCTTCTGCCAGGCTTTCGAGTAGGACCCACCGCCACTACTATTCCACCACCGCCTTCTTCTTTATCTCCGCACTTTGACCATTGGTTGAGCGAGCATTATCGGGGGCGTGAGATGCTCCTGGCAGTGCTACTGGGACGTATATTGCTGTTCTGTTGTGTTGGTATGAATAATTCTCGAATCCCATCTTTAATTCAAGTAATTTTGGAGCACCGTATTTTTAATTGAATTGTACATATTGTATTTTATATTGTTCTTATACTGTTGTACTGTTTTAACTTGGCATCTATGCCTCTTGTGAGCCGCCCTGAGCCTTCGGGGAGGGCAGGATATAAATTCAAAGATAAATAAATAAATAAATGCCAGTAGCTCACAAAGGAGAATTTTTGCTCATAAGACTCCACAGCTTAGAGGGAGCATTGGTCATCACCCCTTCCCCCGATACTGTATGCAAATACTTCTGCGCACAGAGTGACATTCTTGTGCTTCACCCTCCCCTGGCAACCCAAAGCATCCCAAGGGAAACGACCGGGGGGGGGGGGATTTCAGGATGCCTGGGGAGGCGGGACAATCGCTCTCTGTAGTTGTGAGTCTGGATCAATGCTCCCTCTAAGCTGCGGAGTCTTGTGAGCAGTGTTCCCTCTAAGCTGAGTTAGCATGAGCTGGCTCACAGTTTTTAAGCCTCCAGCTCACACGTTTTTGTCTTAGCTCAGGAAGGATGGCTCCAGAGCAAACGGATTTATGCAGTAGCCAAATTGCTCGCTCAAAGATTTAATGCCGGCAGCTTGCAAAGGAGAATTTTTGCTCACAAGACTCCACAGCTTAGAGGGAGCATTGCTTGTGAGCAAAAATTCTACTTTTGTGAGCTGCTGGTATTAAAGTTATGAGCGTGCGATTTGGCTACTGCATAAATTAGTTTGCACTGGAGCCATCCTTCCTGAGTTAAGACAGAAATGTGTGATCCAGAGGACAAAAAACTGTGAGCTAGCTCATGCTAACTCAGAGGGAACACTAGTCTGGATCCATTCCTGGGTTTGGAAAAGCTGGAGAACACTGCTCTAGAGGTGCAGTATGCAGGGCACATCCTCCACTGTCCACATCTCCGCATCTGGGCAAGAGCATGAAACATTAGGCAGGGCTGCCCTGTATTCTGTCTTCCATAAGGACACACCTGCAGGCCTGGTAGCTTCCTAACCTTCCTAGTGAGTGGATGCAGAGAGGTCAGGGAAGCCGGCTGCCTGCTTCGTGGTTGAGGCATGCACAGCTAGTTATCAGTTACTTCCGACAGTGGAAAACTGGGAGTTAGCAAACCTCATTGTTCCCAAACCCAGCTGTGTGGAGGTGTAGAACCTGTACAGGTGACCATGCGCCAACGAACGGCTGTAGGTAAGCTTCCTCTCACAGCTTTTATTTCCAGGCCCTGGCAGCACTGAAAGACAAGCCTGGGCCCTCCCCTAAAGCCTCTGAGTACCAGTGCTCGTTGGCTTCTGCATCCATACATGCACACAACGTCCACGGCAACTGGGAATGGCCACCACCACTGATTAACCCTTCAGAGCATCGACAGCTCCGGGACGTGGACAGCCAGAGGGTGAAGGATGCCCTTGGATCTGTTCCAATTCAGAACAGGTTTGCAAACAGGCACTCGCCTTTGGTGAGCAAGGTTTCTCTCCAGCCCAGGCCCGTAGGTAGGGTGAGGCTTTGGGAGGCTCCACCCCCTTTCTTAAAGGCACAGCCCCACAAGAATTTCTCCTGTACAGGCTTTTTTCAATCATTTTGAAACATTTTTAAAAGGTGTGCGCTTTAAGCAGTGGGGTGCTGTAGGTGACTAATGCCCACACTGAGCAAGGGGGTTGGAGGAGGTGACCTCAAAAAACTGGTCTCCTTTAAGAGAGTTTTTCTGCCCCAGTGTTGGCTTTCTGGACTGTAGAAGTCATCACCCCCTCCTGCCGGCTTGTTATCGGAATTGTTGCTCAGGCTGGCAGAAGTGATTAACTTGCAGCAGCTGGGAACTGTCATCTCAAGTGGTCGACAGCTTGCAGTTTAGAGATCTGTCCCAGTTATAGCTTCCTATTGGCTAAATGGCTTTTCTTTCTGCACTGAGAACTTCAGGCCAAGAGGAAGCAAGGCCAGGTTGGAAGTGACCACAACACAGCAGACTGCAGAACGTGCTCACAGCTGACACTGCGAGGAAGTTATGGCCAGCCCCTTCGCTTACAAGGGGTGCACTTTCTGAGCTGGGACTGAATCTGTAAGCACCTCGGCTCCACTCTTATACCAGAGTTTTTTCGGTCCTAGAATATAAATTGGCTTGAATGGCACTGGCTAGTCCTGCTACAGAAGTCAACACACAAAAGAGCATTCTGGAGATGCAAATCCACTCTGCTCCCCTCAGCAGTCAAAAACAATTGTCAGAGTTCTGAGCGTCAGTGCGCGCAAGCAAATGTGCCGCTATCTGTAGATGACGATGTGTACAGCAACTGTGTCACCATTTCTTCTAGAGGAGCTATACTGCGAGCAAAACTGATCAGTATGAAGTACAGTCGACACGTGTGTTCCAATTGGCTAGTGAGCCGTTTTGAAAAAGATGGCATCTGAATGCTAATGAAGTAGATGCTAATGAAGTAGAACTGAATGCAAAATGTTAGCCGTTGGACCCATTTCCGAATACTAGCATGACTCCCGCATAACACAGGCCATAAACGCCATAACCCCGAGAGGAGACAGCAAGAAGACCACCGTGTGCCTAAGGGCATGCATACCTCGCTGAGCATTCGGGGGGGGGGGGGTCAGGCACTTGGATGAAGCAGGGCATGTCAATCTTTCAAAGGCCCGCCCACCCCCTGACAAGCCCGGATAGCCCAAGGTGCCGTCCATAATACCGGCTGCTCGGAATGGGGCTCCTCGGCCACTGACCCTTTGTGCTTCTCAGGAGGCTCACGGCAAGATACCGAGTGCTTCACGTGGCAGGCAAACTCACCTAAGGGGATGAGGTTGTTGTGGCCAACGTTGGTGCCGCCGGCAATCACGCTGCTGAGGTCGTAGGCCGTGGGCATCCCTGCAGCACAAGGGAGGCACATGAGACACAAAGAAGAAAAAGGCAGGTAGACACTTCGAGAGACACACACACACACACTTGAGGGCTCTGCCCAGCTCTTTGTAACTACTGAAAATGTCACATTCTTGCTCGTCAGAAGGGGTCATTTCCTGCAGGAGCGCACAGGAGCAGAGCTCTGGCAGTAAAGAGCCCAGTGGGCAGGCACATGCAACAAGTCACAACCCCTGCTCCCAGCACCCCTCAGTAAGAGCAAGAAGCAGCCAGTTAAGTTGCAGAGCCCCCCCCCCAGCCACCAGGTCCAAAACAGTCCAGTGGCACCTTTAAGACCAAGTTTTATTCAGGTACAAGCTCTCCCTCCTCTGCAAGGACAGATCTGCACGTTCTCCCCCCCCAATCGCTAGCAATCCAAAACAGTCCAGTGGAGCCTGAGCGGTGGGTGTTGCCTTCTGACACACTTCCGGTGATGTCAGGGGGTGTGGCATATGCAAATAAGTTATGCTAATGAGCTCCTGCACCTCTTTTTCTACGAAATTACCCCTGCTCATCAGACACACTAGCACCTGAGGAAACAGTGTGCCCCCCGGGTGTGTTGAATTCTCCGGAGGAGACGGGTAGTTTGTTTGCGCAGAAGTTGTCCCAGGCAGAAGTTGCTATGAGAGAACAAACCGTAGCCGTGCTGTACTACTTTCCTGCCTGGCGGTCTCCCCCTCCCTGCTGCAAGGCTATTTATTAGTATTTACTTCTCTTCCATCCCACCTTCCTCCCCAATGGGGAAAACCAAAGCGGCTTACAGTGTTCTCCCGTCCGATTCATCCACACGACAACTCTGCGAGGGAGGTGAGGCTGAGAGCAGGTGGCTGGCCCAAGGTCACCAAGCCAGCTTCTAGGGCCCAGTGGGGATTCGAACCTGGGTCTCCCAGATCCTAGTGCCACACTCTAACCACAATGTGGCCATCTGCCTACACGAGAAAGGCCCCGGCTCCAACTTTCTCAGAAAAGGAGGACCGTCTTTTGGAATTCTCTTGGCAAGTGGAATCTATGAGCAGCAGCTGAACCGTGGCCACTACATATGTAGTGCAGCAGGGACCACTAGAGGGAGCCCACCTCAAAAGCATGACAGGAAGGACATGGGAAAGCCTAATTTCCTCTAGAAAGGATTGGCGAGGCATAGGCCTGTAGCCACAGGGGGCATTTCACAGCAATGCCCCCGCCAAACTAGCCCTGTCCCCCCATTCAATCCCTCCCGCCCCTCAAAGTCCTCGTGAGCTGCCACGTCTCTTTTTCGCAGCCGCACCTCCCCCTCCCGGCTCCCTCCCCTCATAATGGGGCTGGGCTAAGGCCAAGCAGGAAAGGAGGGAGTCAGGAGAGGTATGGGCTTGCTGGGTCTTCCTACTTCCGAAGCAGTTGGCTGCGGAAGCAGGAAGACTGGGCGAAGCCGTGCTTCTCTGACAGTCTCTGGAGACGTGGCCTTGCTGGGTCTTCTTCCGGCTTCCTCGCCAGCTACTGCCTACTGGGGTCCCTGTGTCGGGGTGGACTCCCAGCTGTGTTGCACCTGGATAGGGTCCCCAGCATGGCCTGCCCTCGGCCCTCACTGTTCTACAGTCCCAAGACGATATCCTGCAAAGCGGCACTCCTCCTTCTCCTTCTGGCCTACAGCACTGCTGTGCCAAAGTGCCCGCCTTGGCTGGTAAGGGCAGGGCCAGGAGAAGAGGAGGGGAGGGGAGAGGCGGAGAAGAAAACGTGTGGGAATGTGACTGCTGGATGGGACGTCAGGGCCAGAATGCCTGCTGGGTTGCACAGGAACGGAGATCACTCACTGGAATGTACTGATGTATGAAAACTGGATTAGGAATCCCTCGCCGGCAGTTATTTCGTTATTTTTGTGACTTTGGAAGATACATCATCCACCCCCCCGGTCTCCCCCCACTGAAAATTTTCTGGTTACAGGCAGTGTCCCCTGTAAGATGAATTAGTGTGAGATAGCTCAGAGTTTTTTAGCCTCCAGCGCAAACATTTTTGTCTCAACTCAGGAAGGAGTGCTCCAGAGGAGACTGATTTGTGCAGTAGCCAAATCGCTTGCTCACAACTTTAATGCCAGAGTAGCTCACAAAGTAGAATTTTTGCTCACAAGACTCCACAGCTTAGAAGGAACATTGGTTACAGGCCTGGTGAGGCATCACCTGATACTGGGCATCAAAGACGCACCAGACCAGCAGGCCACTGAGGGTCAATGACTGACCCGATGGGCAAATCCCCTCTGTGAGAGGAGAGAGAGGTAGGGGTCTTCCCAAAGCTGCTACCTGCGGAATCTTGAGGGCTTGGTGCGTTTCTGCAGATTTCTTAAAAATCGTGCTTCAGTTGCGCTCTTCAGTTACAAAGCACAGAGCTTACAAAGAGCTCTTGCGGGACTCCTGTCCGGGCAGTGATCAGCTTCATATCTCCTTGGCTTCATCAGTACTACAGGGTTAGATGCTCCCACCCCATTATCATTATATCCAATTCTCAACATGAGGTCAGGTAGCTCTGTCATAGGTCTGGAATGTGGAGGGGTGCCCTCCCGTTTTCTGTCTCAGCTCTCCCTGGCTCACCAACTGTTTGCTATCTTATGCTTGACCTTGTAGATGCTCCAGCTGCGGTTTTACTCGGCTGGGAAAGTTAACGGCTTTTGCTTTGCCTGCTTGCTTTGCCCACGTGTGGGTGGCGAAAGGTTTCCATTGGCGCATGGGGGGGGGGGGGAATGTTTGATTCTAGTATAAGTCAGAGGCCCTAGTATGGGCAGCCATTCCTGACACAAGCTGTACACGTGTCTCTAGTACGGGATTTACCAATAAACAGTTATCTTCTCATGAAGCCATGTGTTGCGTAACCTGACTAAGGACCCTGACCAAATCTGTGGATACTCAAATCTGGAGACTGGAGCCATGAATGGACAAAACAGATGTTTCTACAAACCTGAAAAAAGCCCCAGGTTTGCAGAAAAACTTGAAACTGTAAAAAAAAAACCACACCAACACAAAACAAAACACTGGGTGGTTAATCCTCCCAATAATAGAAGCAGTGCCTGTAGATTTAATGCCCCCTGTGGCTGTTGCTAGGCAACCATAACAGTACTGCCACCGTTGAAGCCTTGTCAGTAAAAGGCAGAAGGAAGGGAGATGACCCTCTCCAGGCGCTTTTGGCCTTTGAGGGGAGTGGTGGCACAGTGGGTATATCCCACTGTCTTAACATCTGAAGTGTGTTAGTTCAAGCCCCGCGCTGGTGTGAGCAGCCAGCCTGTTGTCATCATCCACCCAGCGATTTGAAAGCTTCGGCAAGTAGATAAAATGGGAACCACTCCTTAGAGAGGGTGGGCACACCAATCTCCCTTGTGGGAGGGCGTCAGCTGACGGTCGGACGTCCTGGTCAAGGCTTGTAAGGCAAAACAGCTTCTCGGCTACGAAAAGAACTCCTGCAATGGACCGGCCAGGCGGTGGCAGTGTGGCGATTGACATACGGGTCTTGAAGCCTGGCCAGCAAGCAGCCGTGCGGGAAAATGACGGAACCCGCCAGAAGACGTCTACACCGGGCAGTGACGGCGCGTGCAATTAAAATGAATATATGTTGTCTTCCCTATCCCCTACAAACATTGTTAGTCCCTTGTCTATATTGAGTAACTGTACATCGCTTTGAGCCCACTGGGGAAAGCGATTAATAAATGGAAAGTATTATTATTATTATTATTATTGAGGGAGGAATCCTCAAACTACCGGGTGGTATTATACCATGGTGAGTGTCATGACTACAGCAGCCACCACATGAAAGCCATTGTGATGTAATGGTTACAGTGATCATTACACAGGGCAAAAAAAAAAATAGTAGGCGTCATGTTCCCTTTACTACCAATGGTTAACTCAACCATGCTAAAGTGATAGTGTCAGCGGGGCCACTGCTTGGGAGAGAAATGCCCTCCCTATCATCCCTGACTCAGGGCAGCTACTCAGAATCTTGGCATACCTGTTACCTTTGTAGGTTACTAAGACCCTGGGGTGGTCAGAAGGCCCTCCCTCCTCAGGGAATAAGGTCATGAAGTCGCCTGCTGGGCCGCCCAGAAGACAATTCAGGACGCACAGATCAAGGGGTGCTCCTGGCTTCCAGCTTAAGAAACCAGTGCCAAGTAAAGCCAGCAGACTGTCATAGGGCTTCTCTTTCCATGCAGGAAGTGCCGAAGCCAAACCACCACGATAAGGTTCAAGTGGAGAGTGAGGCTCGAGTCCCGTGGTCTACGGGGCTCCAAAGTCCTCAACTATTCCCCAGCCCAGACCCCGCAGTGGCTGGGGGAATGATGACCAGCTTTGATCAGGAGTAGCAAACAGGGAAGTACAATACCGGCAACGCCCATCCCTGTGTTCATGTTGTAGGTGGCGCCTGTGTTCCACATGTTCTCCGAAGGAGAGGTGTAGTGCGATCCTGGAGGGGGTGAAGGAGTTGTACCTGTGTACCTGGAAGACAGACAGACAAACTCAACATCAGCCGCTCCCAAGTCAACATGGGAGGGGATACATTCCCTCCTGATCTTTGTGTCCAGAATACAGATGTTAGCCTAACTTCTGTCCCAAGTAAACTAATAGGAAGTGTTATTGATGACAAAACCATTCAGCACATATAAAAACACAGCCTGCTTTTGGGGGGGGGGGGGGATCAACAAGGCTTTTGCAAATGAAGGTCCTACCTTACCAAATTCTTGGGAGTTCTCCGAGTGCCTTAACAAGTATGTGGATAAGGACTATCCAATAGATATCATATTCTTGGACTTCCAAAAGGCTTTTGACAAGATACCTCGCGAAAGACTCCGTAGTAAGATTAGTGCTCATAGAACTTAAGAGGATTACAAGTTGGTTCAATGGCAGGAAGCAGAAAGAAGAAGAGATTAGATTTATACCTCGCCCTTCACAAACTGCTTTCCCTTCCCCTCCCCACAACAGACACCTTTGTGAGGCAGGTGGGGCTGAGAGAGCTCTGACAGAAACTGCCCTTGAGAGAGCAGCTCTGAGAGAACTTGTGACTGACCCGAGGTCACACCAGCAGCTGCATGTGGAGGAGTGGGGAATCAAACCGGGTTCTCCGAGATTAGAGTCCGCGCGCCTAACCACTACACGAAACTGACTCTCGGTAGGAATAAATGAACAGTTCTTGCGATAGAAGGGTCCCACAAGGATCGGTACTGGTAAACTAGCGCCCCTCTTCCTCAAGAGGGGTGGAGAAGACACCGAGAACTTTGTGCCAAAAGACTCAGTGCGGGAATGGAGCCTGGAGGTTTCTCAGGACAAAGACCACAAAGAAGAAACGTGGGATTTTTGAGAATACAGAACTGCATATTTATTAGCAATGGGGGACAACTGCACTAGCTATAGCAAGCTGATGTCTTTGTGTACCACAGATGTGTGAGCCCTGTAATGATTCCTTGCTTTAAGAGTGTATGTTTGGTTGAGGTACAGTGATAGCAGAGCAGAGTGATTGAGAGAGACAAATGTACTGCGATTGGTGGATGACAGAGTGTGGGAGGGGTTTTGAAGTGAATCTGTGTGGGTGTGTCAGTGTGTCAGTTATGAGAGACAGTTAGGAAAATCAGTTGGAATTGTTCAGTTGGAGAGTTAAGTCATTGAGTGTTCAGTTAGTTCTGAGTGATTTCTTAAAGAGTGGAGTATATACGTCCTTAGCCTGAGTGGCTGACTCTAAAAGACAGAGTGAATCTTGTTAATGTTGGAACTGAGTGTCAAACAAACAAAAGTAAAGCGAAAAAAGACTGTGTGTGTGATACATTTGAACAACATATTTACAAGTCCCTTTATCCTAAACAGTTACAGAATAACCAACCTCATATTTTGTTCTTAGTTCAATAAATAATCTTTTGTTTAAGTTATCCCAGAATAGAATTCAATCATTCCTCAGGACCACATAGACCCCTGAAAAGCCTAGACCCTGGGTCACTTTACCAGAAAGAAAAACAGAGAGAAAGTTTGGAAATCCTTAAATTCCTGGTGGCAGCCGAATCTACCCAGTTTAATAAAGCAAAGAGCACGTTTAAAGGGAAAACCAGTCCTCCTTAGTAAGAGGACGCCACAAGCCCCCACTTCCCTGTCTGTCTATGGACTGCTTTTAATAATAATAATAATAATAAATGCACCACCACTAGGTGGTCCATTAATATTTATTACTCAGCAGAGCTGGGGGGTGGGATGAATCTGTTATAACCATAAAACAGTTCTCCTAGAAGGGCGGTGGTTGTTTTTATCTTTGGGGACTCCTGGGGCACAATGGAATCACCCAATATGTTCATGGGACTTTTCTTACTAGATAGATAGACAGACAGACAGACAGACAGACACCCCTACCTTTATTCATGTGATGCCCAATTTTTTTTTTTAATGTACACATTTATTACAAAATTGTAACAAGGAATGGAGTATTTCGCTCATTCTGGAAAGATGAAGCTCAGTAACACATAACCTTGAAAATGAACCCGAGGTTATGGCAATAACTTTCTTCTAAACGTTAGTTGTTGTAGATTTTCCGGGCTGTACGGCCGTGGTCTTCGCATCGTAGGACCTGACGTTTCGCCGGCAGCCGTGACTGGCATCCTCAGAGGTATGACACAGAAAGGTGTTACACCTCTGAGGATGCCAGTCACGGCTGCGGGCGAAACGTTGGGTCCTACAATGCCAAGACCATGGCCACACAGCCCGGAAAATCTACAACAGCTAATGAACTCCGGCCGGGAAAGCCTTCGACAACGTATTTTCTTCTAAACGGTCAGATATTCTTGCACTAAGTTGGCAAAAACTGCCTTTTCAAAAACTGAAGGGGAGGTAAAATGAAGGAAACGGGCCTTGCGCATCTTTCGAAATGAAATACGAGAAGGATCTTCACTTAAAAATGTACTTGTCTTATTACAGAAAGGCATGCCTTTTCCTTCCCCCTATGCCCATCGGGAGCTCTTTCAGCATTCGGACCCAACAACTACATTCTACTCAACAACTGAAGCACGTTCACACAGATCAGACCACAGATCCTCAGAGGAAGGGTGGGATGAAAATCCGATGGAGAAATGGTTGCTCTGCGCTATGCCAAAAAATCCCTTCCCACGCGTGCTGGTCCCTCCAGCCCCACAGACGTTCCCGGCTACAGGCTTGGGGGGGGGGGACCCCTTTGTGGGCTTGTTCCGACCTACCTGAAAAACGGGTTTTTCAGATCAAGGAGGTTGCTGGACTTGGAGCCTGTCTGGTCCACTTGAGCAACAATACTGATGTCGTAACTCTGCCTGAAAGACAAAGGGGGGGGAGGGGGAGGGGGTACCCATTATGAGCCACCAGGACCACTTCCACTCCAAGGGCCTCAGGGACAAACAGAAACAAATACTACGTTTGAGTAAACCGATAAAAGGTATGACTGATTGACTGACAAGCAGAAAGAAAAGTCAGAGGCAGCCAATAAGGAGATGGTATCTTGGATTGGCTCACAAAGTAGAATTTTTGCTCACAAGACTCCACAGCTTAGAGGGAGTTTTTTCACTGAGTGAGCAGGGTGGGGATTCCAATTACAGGGGCCTGGGACCAATGCGCCCTCTAAGCTGTGGAGTCCTGTGAGCGAAAATTCTACTTTGTGAGCTGCCGGCATTAAAGTTGTGTGAGTTTATTTGGCTGCTGCATAAATGAGTTTGCTCTGGAGCCCTCCTTCCTGAGCCGAGACAAAAATGTGTGAACCAGAGGCTTAAAAAACTGTGAGCTAGCTCACACTAACTCAGCTTAGAGGGAACACTGGGACTGAGCAAACTAGATGCCCACTGGGATGGCCAAGATTCCCCCACCAGCCCCAAGGAATGCTTTGAAGATTCAGCCTAGAGTGGACCGAAGCCCGCAGGGGAGCTGAGGTAAAATTCTGAACGTCTCCAAAGACAGAACGCAGTGAACAGTAACGGCGACAACAGGCAAGACAGTATTACATGACAGGATGGCCGGTTTTGGTTGCGATAGTTATTCTCTCAGCCGAGGAGAAGCCGTCCCCGGCCAGCTTACCTCTTGTTGGCGATGAGAAGGCACGTCCCTGAGAGGGTGTCACCAGCCTTAGCAAAAAGCGGAGACTGAAAGAGGCACCGCACTTGGTACCAATGCGTCAGAGGTTCTGTGGGAGCGGTCGAGAGCCAAACGGTCATTCTAGTGGAAGGAGGGAAACGACAGAGCGGCAGGGTCAGAGAGAGCAGCCTTCCCTATGACTTTGCCTTCCCTTGGCCCCGTCCTTCCCAGGCGGCTCCATCTTTTCAGTGTCCGTACATCCTCAGACACAAACTTGGGCTGTCACCAGGTCCGGCCTAGGCTTGCCAAGCCCCCGCTGGGGGTGGGGGAACCCCCGCTTTCAATACCCCTTCCCCGCTTTCTAAAAATTGGGCTCCAGGGGGGGGGATGGTGGCCAGAAAGTGACACTCTAGGATTTAAGTCCTCCTAGTCTCTATGGCTCTGAAAACCATAGAGACAAGGACTAGAGCATCAGTTTCCGGTTCCAGTGCGAGGTCTCGTGGTGGGCGTGGACATCTGGTGCTTTCCTCGTGGCGTGGCAGGCGGTCTCTCTCTGAGGCACCTCACCGCCTGGCCTCGCTGCAGCGGTTCCTGAAGCCCCCCCCCAGCCCAGTGTGATGGTAAGTATCGGGGTTCGGGGACCGTAAGGTTTTGGGTTGCTGGGGGCGGGCCAGGCCCTTGCCTTGCCTCTCTACTCAATTGCGCTGCACGCAGACAGCCATTCCTGCATGCCCCATTGCTTCCCTGAGCCCCTCTGCTATTGCAGACAAGGCGCCCAGGGAAGCGGCAGTGGGGGGGCATGTTTAAATTCCTTTCTTTCCTTTCCCGAGATCAGGCATTGCAAAAACATGCTGCTTCCCTTCCTAAACTTTTCCAGCCGCTCTGCGGCTGCGGGAAGGCTTGCCAAGTCCCCCCGGGCCCAGAAAATGGCCAGGTTGTCCAGGATTGGGTTAGAAAATTTACAAAATGCCATCTTGGATCTTTTCTCCTGGTTTTTGAATTTTAATGTTTTGTATACTTTTATGGCATCATGCCCCTTTGCACATCACCCAGAGCCCGACATGAACTGGGATAGGGTGATTAATAAATTGAATTATTATTAATAATAATAATAACAGCAACAACAATTATAACAAAAATGAGTTTCAATCACCCATTAATCACAATCAAGTAATAACCAGCAGACTACACACACCATAAAAATTGCTCTACTATACATAAATCCCTTTACCGATATGGCAAATAAGTGAATTCAGACAGAGCGATCAACGAGTGACATACATGCAGCTGGTCAAAGAATATGACTGAAACAACAAAACACCAAACGTGTTCTGGCTACTGCCTTCCTCAGTGAGGATTTATCAAGCTAAAAAGCTTCTGATGGATACAGCAGACACCAGGTGAACACTGATTTGGTACTGCTGGGGCCAGGCAGGCAAGTACGCATGGGGGGGGGGGGGGCGGTTGCTCGGCACCCTCCCCGAATGACCAGGCTCCCTCCAAAGATGTCAGCACCTCCCCTGAGCCCCAGTGGCAGCAAGCAGGTACTGTGAGAGAGAGAGGGAGTGAGAGAGGGAGCCAGCCAGCCAGCGTGAGCGAGAGCCTCCTTCCTTCTCTCTCTCTCTCCCCCTCCCTTCCTCCCTGCCAAGTAGGCACAAGCTCCCACGGCTGGCCACTGGCTCACTCACTCGCCCCCCTCCCGCCTTCTCTCACACAATAACTGGTAAGTATGGGCCGCGGCTGGTGCTCCCAGGGTCCAGATGTGCGGGCGGGCGTCTGCACTGGCTGAAGCATTATACCTCGCTGAGGTCCCTCCCCTCCCATCCCCTCCCCTCCCCAAACCCCACCCTTCCCAAGGGACACCTTGGTGCACTCCCAACAAAATTTTTCCGGGTACGGGGCTGGGGTTAGGCAAGAAGGACGCCAATTGAGCACTACCTTCCTTTCAGCTCTCCATCTTACTACACTGGGAGCAGCATCCCGGTTATCGTACAAAACCTGGATGGGAGGGGAAAGGGTCCTCTTCCCCCACCACTTACATTGTACCGATGAAAGCTACGTCGAACCAGAAGGCCAGACCGTGGACCAGACCTGAATGCAACATGTGGAATTTGAATGGGATCTCTATCCTGGAAAACAAGAGATGAGACATCAAAGAGGATATTATAGCATTGGGAAAAGTGCATAAAAGGGCAACTAGAATGATAAAAGGGCTGAAACACTTTCCCTATGAAGAAAGGTTACAGTGCTTGGGGCTCTTTACCTTGGAGAAACAATGGCTGAGGGGTGACACGACAGAGGTTGACAAGGTTATGCGTGGGATGGAGCAGGTAGAGAAAGAAGTACTTTTCTCCCTTTCTCACAATACGACAACTTGTGGGCACTCCATGAAATCGCTGAGCAGTCGGGTTAGAACGGATCAAAGGAAGTACTTCTTCACCCAAAGCGTGATTAACACATGGAACTCACTGCCACAGGAGGTGCCACAGGAGGTGGCAGTGGCTACAAACATGGACGGCTTCAAGGGGGATTAGATAAACATATGGAGCAGAAGTCCGTCAGTGGCTATTAGCCACAAGGTCTAGATAGGAACTCTCGGTCTGGGGCAAGTGATGCTCTGTATTCTTGGTGCTTGGGGAGGGGGAACAGTGGGAGGGTTTTCTAGTGTCCCGGCCCCACTGCTGGACCTCCAGATGGCACCTGGTATTTCTGGCCACTGTGTGGCAGAGGGTTGGACTGGATGGGCCATTGGCCTGATCCCACACTGGCTTCTCCCATGTTCTTATTCCACCAGGTAGGGGCCAGGAGATGCTGACTAGCAGATTGTGAAGCCCTTCGGGGCTCATAGGGGGAGAGGCGATTACTGGAAGAACAGCGGGCAGGAAAAAGATACACGAATACTGTTCCAACATCCCGGGTGGGAACTGAGTGAACCCACCTGCCGGAGACAGAATCCACACAGCTGTCAGTCTTTTAGAGACTGGTGGGGACTGGCAGACAGAGTCCAGGCTTGGCAGGCAGAACGGCTGAGTGTGCAGTAATGCCTCCCAGACCTGCAGAGCCAGCCTTCTGCCCGTGCCAGTCCTCGGGGCTCTCTGAACTCCCAGCTGGTACTTGTTCTGCGTCAAAGGCATGGGACAACAGTTTGAGAGGATCTGCTTTTGTCAATTTACCGAACTAAGACTTCAGCTTGGTCCGCAACTGTGTGGGACTGTGCGGAATGCGCACCTCCTGACTGAGCCCATGTTTCCCTATCTTGTCTCAATGAGGGGAAGGAAACCTTCCAAGTTCCCCAGGGAGGGCAGCTTCAGCGGACTCATAAAGTAGTTTGGTGATGGCCCCCTTATGGCCAGGGGCAAGCTCGGGACGGAAAAGTATGCACGAGGGGAAGGTAAAACAGAAGGTCTCTCTGAGGCAACACCTGATTTGAGGGCCTTGGAGAAACGAATACTTGGCTTTGACCCCCATGATGACGGCTAGCCTGGGGTAGTGGATGGAATGTTGGACTAGGAGGCCCAGGTTCGAATCCCCACTCTGCTGTGAAAATCTGTTGGGTGACCTTGGGCCAGTCACACACTCTCAGCCTAACCTACCTTGCAGGGTTGTTCTGAGAGAAAGGAGGGGAGAACTTGGGAGGGAGGCCACCAAGGAACTTATTAATTTATTATTTGCATTTATATCCTGCCCATCTCGTGGGCGGGCTCAGGGCGGGCAACATCATTGAAATAAATACAATTCCCGTTTAAAACATTAAACATCAAAACACGATAAAACGTCATAACAATTCAAACGATGGGTACAGCTCGGAAGAGTGTCAGTTGGCTATAAAGTTCTGGCCCGATGGTACCATGGGTTAAAGGCCAGTTGTCGGTGGTCAGTAGACAGGTGACAGACGGGTGACAGCAACCTCAGGGAGGCCATAGACGGGCGCCCGCTGCCTCAGCCAAAGGCCTGGCGGAAGAGCTCCGTCTCGCAGGCCCTGCGGAATCGAAGGAGATCCCTGGTCTCAATAGGGAGCATGCTCCACCAGGCGGGGGCCAGGATAGAGAAAGCCCTGGCCCTGGTTGAGGCAAGACGAGCGTCCCTCGGGCCAGGGACCAGACTCTGCAGAGGAAGGCAATGGCAAAACGGCTCCTCAGTTGTCTTGAAATCCCCTTGCTGGGGCTGCCATAAATCGGCTGTGACTTGACGGCTCTTCACACACACACACACACACACACACACAAAATACTTAACATTAGGGAGAAGTGACGCTGCAGCAGCAAAGCACCTGTTGTTCCTGCTG